GGAGGATGGAGGGGAGGAGGAGGAGGAGGAGGAGGAGGAGGAGGAGGAGGGAGGAGGAGGAGGGGGAGACAGAGGGAGTAGAAGAGAAAGGAAGAGAGGCAGGAGGAGAAGAAGAAGAGGGAGGAGATGGGGCAGGAGGAGGTGGGGGGGTTAGGGAGAGGAGGGAGGGAGGAGGAGGAGTGAGGAGGAGGAGAGGAGGAGAGGAGGAGGAGGAGGAGGAGGAGGAGGGGAGGAGGAGGAGGAGGCTAGAGGCCCCCACGGGAAAGCCCAAAAAGTAGCTGCAGCGGGCCTCCAGGGGGCACCAAGGGGCCAGCGTCGGAGGCTGTTCCGCGCGGCTGCGCACGTCGGCTTCGCGGGTGAAAGGGCTGCACGTAGCCATTTTGGCTCAAGGGGCTCAAGGGGCTCAAGCTCCTCCCAGCCCCCTGCGCTGGCAGGCCTCCCGCCCGCCCTGCGCGTGCCCTGGGCGCCGCATCGGCTGCGGGACATGGCGGCCGCCGCCGTGCCCTGGCGGCCGGCGGGCGCCCCGCGGCGGCGGGCCCCGCGGGCCCCCCCCCCGCGGGGCCAGTCTGGGCGGCTGCCTGGTCGCTGGCGCGGAGTTCGCAGACGTCCCGAACGGCCTCCATCCTACCTCGAAGGTTCCCGCGGCGGGCTGGGAGCAGCTCATGGCGTGCGTCGCGTTCGGGGAGCAGCCCCAGGACCAGTCAGCTGGCACCGGGGCCGCAACAGGCGTTTTCGCGCACGCGGCCAGGGCGCCTGTCGACTTCGACTGGCGTGGATGTCGCGGACATCCCGTACGGCCTCGGCGCTATCATGGAGGCTCCCGCAGCGTGACCCGGGGCGCGTGCCGCGTGTTGTCCGTGGGCTAGTCCTCTTGCACTGTCGCGCGCCTGACGGCAGGGCTGGGCTGGAGTTGGCCTCCCCTCTTCCCACTCGCCATTCGGCGAGGCCTGCACTGGCAGGCGCCGCACTTGCGTGACCTCTATCTTCCTCCCCTCACCTTAGCGTCCGCGTTTCGCGCCTCTCGGGCAGGGCAGGGTTTCGGTCTGGACTTCGTCCGCCCCCGAGGGCTCGTCCTCTCGCTAGAACCTGAGCGCGCGCGGGGGGGCTCGTGGGGCGGTTTTCGTGTTTCGGCCTTGCTCGCAGGACTGTGCTTCGTCTGCAATCGTGCCGCGGCTACCCACGCTGCAGGCGCCTCTTCGCCGTCGTTGCTGTCGTCGTTTTCGTCGTCGTCGTCGTCGTCGCCGTCGCCGTCGCCGTCGCCGTCGCCGTCGCCGTCGCCGTCGCCGTCGGCGCCGGTGTCCGGCCTGCCGGGTTTCCCTCGGCCTGCCGGTCTTCCCGCTTGCCGTTTGACTCTCTTGGGGCCCCTCTGCGCCCGGAGGTAACCGTGACTCGCCCCCGGGCCCCTGGTGGTTTTCTGTCTCTCATTTTCGTGGGGGAGCTGTGACTCTGTCTGGCACCTCGCTTGTCCTCTTCCTCCGTCCCTCTCTTCCGGTTCGCGGGGCCTGCTGTGCCTCTCCACGTTACTTGCAGGTTCGTGTTGTCCTTTTGCCCTGTGTTTTTGAGGACACCTCCGCGCCCTCCGCGGACCCTCGAACTCCTGAGTGTGGTGTTTGCTTTCGTTTCCCGGCCGCGTGGCCGTTACCTTCGGGCTAGCAGCGTGAGGGTGTGTGTCTGTAGGTTCGCTCCCTTTCCAATCCGACGAACTGGCCTCCCCCTTCGGAGGTGCCGGCTGTTGCGGGGCGCCGGCTGTTTCAGGGGCCCCCCCTCGTGCCACTGTTCGGATTCGTCTCCAAATTCTGTCTGGGCGCTGCGACCTTTTCGGCCACAGGCCAGTCGGCTTCGGTGTGTGGTGCAAGCTTTCGTGTCCAGGCCGAGTGGCCGAGAAAAAATATCCCCCGTTGTTTTTTCCGCCTCCCCCTTTCGGTGGTGCCGGCTGTTGCGGGGCGCCGGCTGTTTCGGGGGCCCCCCTCGTGCCACTGTTCGGATTCGTCACCCAATTCTGTCTGGGCGCTGCGACCTTTTCGGCCACAGGCCGGCCGGCTTCGGTGTGTGGTGTAAGCTATCGTGTCCAGGCCGAGTGGCCGAGAAAAAGTGACCCCCGATGTATTACCGTCGTGTCCCTCTTCCTCTTGCGTCTCAGCGTGCCCCGGATGCTTTCCCGCCACTTGGCGGCGCCTGCACTTGCAGGTTGGCCCCCGCAAAAGGCGAGGGGGGCGCACTTGCGACCATCGACCCGCTGCACGCCCGGCACTACAACTAAGTTTTCTACGTGATGTCGACCGTAGCTTGGGCTCGACTGCCAGCCCCCCTTGCGGCCTTGTCTCCCTCCCCCTCCTCCCGTCGTCGTCGCTGTCGTCGTCGTCCTTCTCCTCGTCCTCCTCCTCGTCCTCCTCCTCCTCCTCCTCCTTCTCTTCCTCCTGGCGACTGGAAGGAAGCCGCGGGAGGGGCCTGCATGTTATGTGATGCCCTGCTATGGGGTTGCCCCAGGGAAGGTGAATCTTCGGGCCCAACCAGAAGGTCTGGGCGAACTAATCCTGCCCCCCCCCCCCAGGCACAGCATAGTTTCGGCCACGTTCGCCGGACAGCCTTCGGCGCAGGAAATGGCGTTGCCACCGCCCCCTACCCCTGAGCCGCCGCACCGTTTCCGTAACACGACCGAGTTTGCGCACCGCGTCCGTGACACACACGCTGTCTTCGAATCCGGCCGTCAGAACCTGGTTTTACTTTGTTGCGCCCACCGTGGGCGGATGAACGTCCAGACCGTTATGCTCGGTCACCCTCTCTCCTCCTCCCTCCTCTCCCCTGCTCGTCCCTCAACTGGCTGCCCCCTCCCTGGGGCGTCTCCTCCCGCCGCCCTCCTCCCTCTCCCCTTTTCCTTCGCCTGGCTGGTGGTGGTGGAGCTGTGGCGGGGGGGGAAGACGACGAGGATCCCCGTGTCGATGCGGCCAGTTGGCAACACGCGCACTTGCGCTCGCGCACTTGCGCTCCGCCATTGGGCGACGTGGCAGGCGCGGCTCCCAGGGGGCCCCTACAACTGTCTCGCATGAAACGACACCCGGCCCCCATGGGAGCGGGCACGCGCGCCGGGCATTTGCCCCACTGCCAGCGCCCTACTCGGGACTGCGTATGCCTGCCCTTTGCCCGGGGCTTCGGCACCAACGCGCCCCACTTGGGTGCGCCTCAACCAGAACCAGAACAAGGAGGAGGGGGAGGAGAGAGAGGAGGAGGAGGAGGAGGAGGAGGAGGAGGAGGAGGAGGAGAAAGAGGAGGAGGAGGAGGAGGAGGAGGGAGGAGGAGGGGAGGAGGATGAGGAGGAGGAGGAGGAGGGGGAGGAGCAGGAGGAGGAGGAAGAGGGGAGGAGGAGGAGGAGGAGGAGGAGGAGGAGGAGGAGGAGAGGAGGAGGAGGCGAGGAGGGGAGGTAGGAGAGAGGAGGAGGAGGAGGAGGAGGAGGAGGAGGAGGAGGAGGAGGAGGCTAGAGGCCCCCACGGGAAAGCCCAAAAAGTGGCTGCAGCGGGCCTCCAGGGGGCACCAAGGGGCCAGCGTCGGAGGCTGTTCCGCGCGGCTGCGCACGTCGGCTTCGCGGGTGACCCTTCAGTCGGGCGTGTCCCCCTGCAGGGGGATTCTCGACGAAAAATAAAAAATACTCAAAAAAATACTCCATAATGTTCAAAAAATAATCAAAAATAGTCCCCTGACTATTTTTTGACATGTTTTGGAATATCCCCCTGTAGAGGGACAGGCCCGACTTAAGGTTACCCCTCCCTTTGGCTCGCTGATGTTGCTTCACACTGCTCCTCACGACAGATCGCCCTGGGGACCGATGACAGATGGGCTGGCGGGCTGGACAACCTGCCTACTCCTGCTCACACATGCGTCCAGATTGCCCAGGAGGCCTGTGCGAGACAGCGCGGATCTTGGGGTGGAAGCGAGCCCCCGTACCCAGAACCTCAAATGGCATCGTGAGACAGCGCGGCACTTAGCGCTGGATGGGCTGCTTTGGCGTGAAAACGTGAGGCTGGGCGGAGAGATGTCCGTGGCATGTGCGTCCTCGGCCGGCGCCCGAACTCTGGGCTAGCTCGGCTGACAGAATCTCTTCAGCGCATGCACGTTGATATGCAAACATGCTTGGGTTTGATCCCCAGCCAATACGTGCACCAGTAGGCTCAGCTTGGCGGGCTTCAGATTCGCCACGTGAGACTCTGCTGAAAACTGTTTGCTGCCATTGTCCACACGTGTGAAGGCGGGGCGGGGGCTGGACGAGTGGTGCGTGCGGATGCGGCTCCCCAGTTTTCTGGTGCTACGTAGGCGCCTGCCCAACAGAGGTCGGTGGGAATTCAGCACAACTTGCGACGCTGCTGTGATGGCCGGGCCTGGCTTGTATTACAAATCGTGGCACCATTCGCAAGATTGAGGACCTCCCGCGAGGGGCGGGCCTGACACGCACGCTCTCGATAGATGCAAAACATGCGAATGCAGGTGTGGGGTGTGCCTGTGTTTGTGAAAGAGAGCGTGAGAGAAGAGAGAGAGAGAGAAGGCCCGCGCGTAGCCTTAAAAAAATGTGAGAGAGAAGCTGCACATGTCGGCGATGTTGGGTGGCACCTGCTCTTCCCAACCCCTCTTCCTGCATCTCGGGGGAACCTCCTCCTCCTCCTCCTCCTCCTCCTCAATATCATCGTCCTCTTCCTCCTCTTCCTCTTCCTCCTCCTCCTTTTCCTTCCCCCTTATTCCATCGAGCCATCCATACATCCATTCGTCCTTCCTTCATCCTCCTGCATTCCTATGTTTCTCCTCCTCCTCCTCCTCCTCTGCCCCTCCCCGCCCTACCTTCTCCCTCCGGCTTCCTCTCCGATCCCCAGTTGGTCCCCTCCCCTCCAATTCACTCAACGAAAAGCAAACACACACGAACACACACACAAACACACACACACAAAAAAAGAAGACGGCGACGGGGACACGAACGGCGGCGACGACGGCGAAGGCAGCAAACGAACCAGCATGTCCTCGGGAATCTCGTCGCACTCCGCTATGTCGGTGACGTCGGCCTGGGAAACCAAACAAAACAGAAGGCCCAACAGAAAGAGGGGTCGGGACAGCAACTGAAGGGAGGAGGGATGTGAGGTAACGATAGGGGATAACGAAGAACAGGCGTGGGAACATCACGGGAACGTTTCAGATCAAACGCTGAATTGCTAGAGCGCACAACAGGAGCTATCCTTTACAGCGTTACCATCGTTTCTGTTTCTGGACGCTGGGGGTTCCATGAGGCCACACGTAGGCCTTGCATTCATAATTCATCATACGTAGTAAACCCGCAGCGGGTCATGGTGCCATGGCGCGCCAGCCACACATACTCCTGGGCGGCCAGAAGAAGAGGAGGGAGGAGGGAGGAGGGAAGAGGGAGGGGGAGGAAGCAGGATGGGGGCAGGAGGCAGGAGGTAGGGGGGAGGGAAAAGAAGGAGGAGCGAGGAGGGACTGCAGCAGACGTGAGCGGAATTGTGCGTGGACGTCTTTCAACGCAGAACCCCGAAACGGCGAGCGAAAAACGAAGTGAACTTCACATGGATGTTTTGTAGTCTTCACTCCGGACCAAAAAGAAACCGCACGAAACTCCCTCCGAATTCTGGACCGAAACACTCTCCAAGACAGCCCGGATCCATCCCATTGCTTTCCGAACAGAACCCGTTCTGTGATGTTGGCGCCGACGGCGCTGCCGCAGCCCCCGCGCCCTCGATTGAGCAGGAACCGTCCGTCCCGGCATTCCTACGGGCCTACCACGACATGTTCGTAGAATCCAGAAGTGCTCAAATAACAAAAACAATGTTCTTAGAACAGAACCCCGATGTGTTGAAACAGGGCAGTCGCAGCCGGGCATGTTCTAAGAACAGCTCGTGCAGACCACAAGAGGCTCTTAGACATTCTTCGGGGGGCCTACAGGCAACCCATGACGCTTCGCCACTGCTCGACTCGATCCGCACGCCGCCGCGCTGCGCGCCGCACGCCACCGTCAGGACGCGCGCGCGCGGCACGCAGAGTTCCCGAGAGAACGCCTGTCGTCACAAGCGGGTCTAGGGATCTCTGGCCGTGAAGATTCGCAAGGCTGCCAGCGGTTCCCGACACGTCGGATCTCAAGGAACGCCTGGTGGGCAACGATCATAGACGGGCCTTGTGCGAGATGACGTGGAGACATTGCGCGGCGGCTTACCCGGACAGCTGGCGCGGCACGTCACATTGAAGACGAGGGCGGCGGCGGCGGCGGCGGCGGCGGAGGAGGAGGAGAAGGAGGCGGGACGGAGGCTCAGGAAACGGAGGTACGGAGGCGGCGGAGCAGGCCCAGGGAGGAGACAGGAATGAGGAGGAGGAAGGGGGAGGAGCGGGGAGAGGGAGGGGAGGCAGGACGGAGCATGGGAAGACTGCAGGGGGGGCGAAACACCAAGCAAGATCGAACAGGAGGAGTAGAAGGAGGAGTGACGATGGCAGGATGGGGAGTGCACAACACGGAGGTAGGAGGAGGAGCGACCTGACGCGGGCAGCTTTGCGCGCGGTCGGCGAAGAACGACCCGTGCCTCGGGCACAGGCCGCCTCCAGGGTCGGCGAGGCCTGCATGGGGCTGCGGGTGGGGGTTGAGCGTCCCCCGCCCACCACTCCTTAACCTTCACTGTGCGAGGCGGCCGCTTCCGTGGGGGCGGGCGCCGGGGGGGGCGGCAGAAGACGGCTGTGCCCGCCGTCTGTGCCCCTCTCTGGGCCCCAAGGATCGGGGATGGACAGAACCCCCTTTAGTAAAACGTGGTTTAGTGAAAACGACCTCGGGCCCAAACCTGGCGGGCGCAAGCCTGGAAAATGACGGCCGCGGCGCCCTCTCGAGAACCGAAAACAGACAATTCACTAATCGACGTGTCAGGATGGGGGTTCTGTCCACCCCCGAAAGGAGCCCCCTCCAGGGCCCCTCCCTATAGGGCACCAGAAGGTGCACCTGTCTTGACCCGCACCCCCCCCCATTTCGTAGCTTCGGGTCGGGCGTGTCCTCCTACAGGCGGATGTGGACGAACGATCACAAAATAGTCAAAACAATACTTCGAAAACGATTCAAAAAATGAAAACATCGTCCCCAGACTATTTCTGACTATGCTTGAATATTCCTCCTGTAACAGGACAGGCACGATTTAAATTTATCGGCTTCCGGAAACCCTGACACAATAAGCCTTGCCATCTCTTAGGGGACAGAGATATCCTTCCGCCAGCATTTCGCTGGCTTTCGCCGGCGGGAGCGGCCTCGTTTTCCTTCAGAGATGGCAGCTCCCTCCGTCCTCAAAGGCGAGGCCCTTTCTGAAACGACCCTCTATCGCCCCACCACTACGCAACGCCCGACTCCCCGCGACTCTGCTAGACCCCCGCGGGACTGCGAGGGAAGCCTGGTGCGAACTTCGCCCGCTCACGACTCGGATCGCTCGTATCCTCGCGAGACATGTCGCCACTCCTGAATGCGGTTGACAATGCTATGTTGCATCTTCGGGGTACCTTGTGTGTCCCGTCGCGCCCCTATCCGCGTTGAATCCGGGTCGCATCCGTGAAAAATCCGTTCAAAATCCGCGTCGAGCCCGCATCGAACCAGCGTCGGGCACAAGAAAAGACAAACAATTTTGGGGACAGACGAGGTCCCCGAAATTGCAACGTAAACAATGGACACGACGTCATCACCGGAAAGCTGAGCGCTCCAGTGGCCCGCAGAAGCTGAAACAAGGGGGGAATGACCTCGCACCGGCTCTGATGGGCACGCCGCCACCCGACACTTCTGAACAGCATGCTTCGTAGCAGCCCCAGACGGCGGCGGCGAAAGGCCTGGATGCCGATAAGAAACCAGATGTACTCGCCCGTCTCGGTGTCCTGGCGGGGGATGGGGCTCCTCCTCCTCCTCCTCCTCCTCCTCCTCCTCCTCCTCCTCCTCCTCCTCCTCCTCCTCCTCCTCCTCCTCCTCCTCCTCCTCCCTCCTCCTCCTCCTCCTCCTCCTCCTCTCCTCCCTCCTCCCTCCTCCCTCCTCCCTCCTCCATCCCTCCCTCCTCCCTCCTTCCCTCCTCCCTCCTCCCTCCTCCCTCTCCTCTCCTCCCTCCTCCTCATCTCCTCCTCCTCCTCCTCCTCCTCCTCCTCCTCCTCCTCCCTCTCCTCCTCCTCCTCCTCCTCCTCCTCTTCCCAAGGTTCGAGAGGTATGAGGCTGTGTGTGGGGGGGGCGCCCTCGTGGCAACGGCTGGATTCTCCTCGAACTCCTGGCCACAACGCACCCAGGTGCAGGCACGGGGGTCGACTACTGACCCACGACCGCGGACCTCCAGCGACTCGCAAAAAACAGGACGGAGACTGCTGCAATCTGCGCGCAGGTGCCGTTATCGGGCCCCCAGCCTGCCGAGCGCACATCTGGAGGTGCAAATGCTCGGTCCCTCAGAGGGGGGAGTCGAGACCCACGAGGGCACCGTACTGAAAAGATCAGGCCGTCGGAGATATGGGTCACCCCTCCTCCTCCTCCTCCTCCTCATCCTCCTCCTCCTCCTCCTCCTCCTCCTCCTCCTCCTCCTCCTCCTCCCCCTCCTCCCCCTCCTCCTCCTGCTCCTCCTCCTGCTCCTCCTCCGCTTCCGTTTCCGCTTCCGCCTTCGCCTCCGCCTCGGGCTCCTCCTGCCGTCTCCCAGTCCTCGTCTCTCCCCTCGTCTGCGCGCTGGCGGCAAGCATGTCGGAAGGAGCCCGATCCACCGTCGCCACGAGGCGGGGTCAGAAACCAGGAGGCACCCACTCCCCCCCCCCATCAAAAGCAATCCTAATTCGGGGGCGCGCAAACATGGATTAACGATCCGTGGGATTGGCGGGCGGTCGCCAAACCCATCGATCGGGGGAGGATCCGTGTCTGCCATAGGAGGAGGAGGAGGAGGAGGAGGAGGAGGAGGAGGAAAAGGAGGAGGAAAAGAAGAAGGAGGAGGAAGATCGCCTGACGAATGCCCCCGACCTGGAAATCCTTCGGGGGGTCGAGAGAATCCCCCCCCGGGGAAACACTGCCGCCGCCCCTCCCCCCCCGGAAATGGCTCGACAGCTCCAGGCCGCCCTCCCCGCCCCCCTTCCCCCCTGGGGCAACGAACGACGACGACGACAAGGATGAGGACGACGACGACGACAAGAACGACGACGACGACGACGACGACGACGACGACGACGACAAGGACGACGACGACGACAACGACGACGACGAGGACGACGACGACGACGGCTACGACGACGAGGACGACGACGATGATGACAACGACGACCAGGCGACGACCACCGCGACGACCACCACGACGACGAAAACAACGATGATGAAGACGACGCCTAAGACGACACCGACGACGGCGACAACGACAGCGGCGGTGGCAGCGCACCTGCCGCCAGGGCCTGCGCTGGGCGTCGGATCTGATAGAATGCTACGAGGACTCGATCCAGCTCTGATAAAATCGTATTCCGTCTCGCCCTACCTCAAATAGTTTCCTAGAGGGGCTGGATCTACCTCTAATCGAATTCCTTTAGGGATGGATCCAATGCTAATCGAATCTTGCTAAGGCTGGGTCCAGCTCTAGCAGAATTATCACAGGGCTCAATTCGGCTCAATCCTGCTAATAGGGCTGAATCCTGTTCTAATGCAAGCCTGTTTGGGATTGCCCAAGCACACATATAATATTACAAAGGCTCTGTCCAGCATGTATGCCACTCTACGGATGCTGGATCCAGCTATACTCGATCCAGCTCTAATGCAGGCGCACTAAGGCTCAATCCAACTTCAATGTAATCCTATTCGGGCTGGGTCCAGCTCTAACAAGATCTAGCCAAAACTCATTCCAACCCTAACGGAAACCTACAATGCGGGCATCCAGCCCTGTATGAATATCATTAGGACTCATTCGGGCTCTAATCAAACCCTACTATGGCTCGACCCAACACTGGCGGAATCGCAGTCGGACTCGATCTATCTCTACCAGAATCCTACTCGGGCTGGATCCAGCACTAATCGAATCCCAATGGACTCGATCCACCAATGGTACAATCCTACTACGGTCGGGTCCAGCTCTAGTGGAATCACATCAGGGCTGTATCCAAGTCTGATGGAATTCTACTGCAGCTCGAACCAGCATTCATGCAACATGGCTATGAGTCTGGATCCAACTGTGATAGAATCCTAATACCACTCGCTGCATTCTCGGACTGGATCCAGCTCTGATGGAATCCCATCAGTGATCGATCCAATTCTAGCAGGATCCTAGTAGGGCTCGATCCAGCTGCAACCGCATCCCACTACGGATCAATCGTCGTCGTCGTCGTTGTCGTCGTCGTAGTCGTCCTCGTCGCCGTCGTTGTCGTCGACGTCTTCGTCGTCTCCGTCGTCGTCGTCGGCGTCGTCGTCGTCGCCATCGCCATCGTCGTCGGCGTCGGCGTCGTTGTCATCGTCGTCATCGTCGTCTCTGGCGTCGGCGCCGACACCGGCATCTGCATGCTCGTCGTCCGTCGTCCGGGGAGTGAGGGGGGGGTTCTGGACCCCTCCGAAAAATTTTCCCTGGGGGGAACTCCCATCCCACCCCCTGCCAACAGCGGCAGAAAGCGCGCTTTCAGTATCTTGCGTCAAGCCGGATCATAAAAAGGCAGAGCAGCCGGTGCTCAAAGCGTTGGGTTGAGAAAATCGTCAGAGACATCGTCAGCATAAGCAGCATCGTCAGACACATGCTGTGTGAATAATGTAAACACTATGGCCCCAGGCGTCGCGTTGGATCGCATTGCACAATAAGCCCGCCACAGGTACCGACTTTTTATCAACACATTGTGTGTGGTTCGCGAGTGTCGCGGGTGGGTCGCGGATGGGTCGCGGTCGTGTCGCAGGCGAGTCACGGGTGAGTCGCGGCGGGTATGTGGGTAGCGGGTGGGTCGGGGGCGGGTCGCGGGCGAAGAAGACGAAGAACAAAAACATCAACGAGAATCCGAACCGGGGGGCCCCACTGCAGCCACGCACCCAGGGACGGTGCAGGGCCCTCTGGCCCCCTCACTCGGACATGCTCGGCATGGGAGAAGGCGTCACTCGAGCAGAGATTTTGGGAAACTGCAAGTGAAGGAGGTGCCGAAGAGGGATGGACGGGAGGGAGCGACTGGAAGAAACGAATGCGTAAACGTAAACGTTCAGCGCTCCGCGTGGACTTCTTGGATCTGCGCTGAACCCCCCCTGGCGCGCGGAGCGCGCAGGGGACGGTGCTGGGGCACCCGCCAGGGGGTTCCAGCGCAGATCCGAGAACTCCCGATCGGAACCCAAGTTGCTAGTTATGTGCATTGAGGACATCACAACCCACCCCTCACCCCAAGCCAGGACCCCCACTCCCGACCTGGTGATCCACGGGGTCCTGACTCGGAGGTGACTCTGCCCCGGGGGCCATAAAAAGCCCCCCCCACCCCGAGCCAGGACACCCTGGATCACCAGGTCGGGAAAGGGGGTCCTGGCTGGGGGTGCGGGTGAGTCGTGCTGCCCTCATGTGTGCCGTGCTTAGAAGACGAGAGCCATAAACGTGAACTTTTGGCGCTCCGCGCACATTTCTTGGACCTGCGCTGGACCCCCTCCCTGGCGCGCGAAGCGCGCCAGGGGCGGCGCTGGAGGCGCCGCCGGGGGGGCCCAGCGCGGATCCAAGAAATGCGTGCGGAGCGCCCAAAACTCATGTTTATGACGTGTTTTCTCCTTCGAGTGCTCTCTCCTTCGAGGAGCAGGCCGGAGCGGGGGAGAGGATCCTGCGCCACGCGAAGGCCGCGCAGGTCCTGCCCAACGCGAGGGCGCGCGCGGACCGGCCCGGATCCCCGCGCAGGGCCGCCGGGTCGCCGCTGCCGCCGCGCACCGCCCGCGGCGCCGCCGTGGCCACCGCCGTCGACGTCGCGTCACGTCATCGTCGCTCTCGCCGCAGCGCGTCGTCGCCTCGTCGCCTCATCCCTGCGCGCGCGTGCTGGCAAGAGGTAGGGCCGTACCACAGCTGTTCTTGCCAAGGCCAGTCTGAAGAGTCGGCGAGACCGGCGAAAGCTCACACGTTACACGGTCAAAAAAGCGATTTCACATCATACAGATAACAGTATAGTGCGGTCGCCTCGTCGCTTCGTCGCCTGGTCCCCGTCGCCTTTGTCGCTGTCGCCGTGGCCGTCGTCGCCGCCGTCGCCGAGGGAGGAAGGTCGGACAGAGTGAACGCTTTCGGAGCTTTCGACGGGGCTTCCTGGCGTCCTCCGGCATTCATGAAGATTTTCCGCGGCAGGAAACGTAGAGAGGCGGTGGGAGGCAAGGCGAGAGGGAGGAGGACGCCGCCACTCATCTGCCTCCCTCGCTTTCTACATCCACCTGCTCCCTCCTCCCCCCCGTCCCCCTCTCCTCCTCATCCGTCCACCTTCTCCTGCTCTTCCTCCTCCTCCTCCTCCTCCTCCTCCTCCTCCGCCTCCTGATCCTTCCTCCTCGTCCTGATCATTCCTCCTCCTTCTGATCATTCCTCCTCCTCCCCGTCACCCTCCACTTCGTTCCCACTCCCTCCCATCCTCACGCGCCTCCCTCCAACCCCCCTCATCTTCCCCTTGCCCCCTCCTCCTCCTCTCCTCCTCCTTCTGCTCCTCCTTCTCCCTGCTCCCTGCTCCTTCCATTCCTCCCCCCCCGCCTCCCTCCTCCCCTCCCTCCTACCCCCTACCCTCCCCTTCGCCTCATCCCCCCTTTCAACCTGATCTTACGCGCCGCAAGATGTACCGCCGCTGCCTCCTCCTCCTCCTCCTCCTCCTCCTCCTCCTCCTCCTCCTCCTCCTCCTCCTCCTCCTCCGCCTCCCCTCAACTACCCTTCTCCCCCTGAGGGGGAGAAGGGAGGGTAAAGGGAGGCGGCGGAGGGGGAGGGGGAGATGGGAGAAGTAGGAGGAGTAGGGAGATGGAGGCGGCGGATTTAAGGCGAGGCGGCGAAGGGGGAGGGGGAGGGGGAGGAGTAGGAGATGGGGAAGATGACGGGGACCCCTCCCCTTCCCCTATCTCCTACTCATCCAGTCCCTCCCTCCCCCCGGTCCAACTCTCTCCCCACCTCCCCCCGCCCCGCCTGCCGAAGGCGAAAGACGACGACGACGACGACGACGACGACGACGACGACGACGACGACGACGAGGACGAGGACAACGACGACGACGGCGACGGCGACGGCGACGGCGACGACGACGCAGTGCAGACGGCGACGACGGCAGTCGCCCGATGCTGCAAGGCAGCAGCGGCAGCGGCGACGGTGCATTCACGAGGATTGTCCGCGGCAGAAAACGTAGAGAGGCGGTGGGAGGCGAGGCGAGAGGGAGGAGGACGCCGCCACTCATCTGCCTCCCTCGCTTTCTACATCCCGTTGCTCCCTCACCCCCCCGCCCCCCTCTCCTTTTCATCCGTCCACCTCCTACTCTTCCTCCTCCTCCTCCTCCTCCTCCGCCTCCTGATCCGTCCTCCTCGTCCTGACCCTTCCTCCTCCTCCTGATCATTCCTCTTCCTCCCCCTCACCCTCCACTTCGTTCCCACTCCCTCCCACCCTCACGCGCCTCCCTCCAACCCCACTCATCTTCCCCTTGCCCCCTCCTCCTCCTCCTTCTGCTCCTCCTTTCCCTGCTCCCTGCTCCTTCCATTCCTCCCCCCCCCGCCCTCCCTCCTACACTCGCCTCCCCCCCCTTCCACCTGATCTTACGCGCCCCAATGTGTACCGCCGCCGCCTCCTCTTCCTCCTTCGCCGCCTCCCATCAACCACCCTTCTCCCCCTGAGGGGCAGAAGGGAGGGTAAAGGGAGGCGGCGGAAAGGGGGGGAGATGGGAGAAGTAGGAGGAGTAGGGGGATGGAGGTGGCGGAGGTAATGGGGGTTGTTGGGGACGGGCCCAAAGCCAGTACGTCACCAACCCTCAGCCAAAGCCGGAGGCCTCCGAGTCTGACTCGACGCCGTTGCGCGAGGTTCGGAGGGAGGCGGCCCCAAGGTCCCTGACCCAGGGTAGATCCGACTCGACAAAGCCGAAAACCCACAAAACCTGCTCTCGCGGGGCGAAGCCCCCCGCGAAGCAGCCCGCCAAAGCACCTGAAACGCTCTGGGGGGGAAGGCCATCCCCGTGCAACGTCTGAGCCAGGACCCTGCGTTCGGCGAGGTTCAGGCCCTCGTGGGCCCCCTGAGCCAAATTCTTCAAGACCTTCTTGTACCACGGGAACCGACCCAGCCGAATCCTTCTCAGCTAGTCGGACATCCCGCCCTTTGTAGATTTAGGCATACACGGCCCTCTGGCTCCTGCATTGGGAGCCCCCGAGAAAACGATCCACACCTGCAGCAGAACTGGATTTTACCCTTGGGGGCCCCAGGAGGCTCGAAGACAGGGCAGGCAAGGAACGCGTGACGATTCCCCCTAAAAACTTGCCGAGAGAAAAAAACCCACTCCTCCCCCAAGTCCGACAAACCTCCGCCCTCCCTCTGATCATCTGCCAGGGCCTGGCCTGGCCTGGCCTGGCCTGGCATCGAGCGAGGGTTGCTGCTGAAGGCCATCGTTGCCTGGCGAGCGCTGCGCCAGGCCTGTGGCGTCGCGGGGCCCTCCCGACCCGGTGACCTCGACGCCCCCCGCCCACCTGCACGCTTGGCGGGCCAGGCACCGCATTCCCCTGTACACATTCGCGCCATCATTACTGACCCCATGACAGTCAGCCCCAATCTTAGCAAACTCGTCGGCGTGCCCGTTAGCCCGACGTTCCACTCGGCGCGTCTGCCTGCCTCTATGTCGGCGGCGGTCGCATGGCCGAACGTTTTGCGGCACTCGAAGTCACCGGGAGCAAACGCAGACCACGCAGGGCCCTAGAGATGGGCCCGATGGGGACCCAGGGCCCTCAGAGGTGCAAAAAAACTGGGCCCCGAGCCAGCGAGTCCAAAATGCTCTGGCAATCGATGCAGCACTGAAAAGGGGGAAGGCCTACCTGCGACAGAATATGCACAGCAAAGTCTTCCCCGTCTTTACTCGTCTGCTGCGGGGCCATACTCAGCGGGACAGGTCCTTGACAGCCGACACCACGTTCGCAAACATGTCGACCGAAACTATCCTCCACCCAGCTCTGGCGAGCCCGTCGAGGCCCATGTGTTTCGCCGACCAGTCCAGGAAGGGCAGCCCTGAGAGAAGGCCCGTCTCGGGCCGCTGGTGCCAGTGGAACGCGTGGGCGGGCTTCTCGACGTCGAAGAGGGCTCCGGGGCGAAGGAAGATGCACCGCGCGAACCATTCCGCCGCCAGCGGGCCTAGCCCCTTCACTCTCGGCGCACAAGCACCCAGTCGAGCACTCACTAGACCGCGACGCTGAATTGCGCGAGCTGGGCACACGCACTGACGCTGCCACGAGGTGCACGGCGCGCCTCTGCACAACTGACAAAGCTCATCGTCGCGCAGGTTGCGCGCGAAAAGACGTGCTTGAGGCCAATGCACACCCGAAACCAGTCATCGAAGGCACCTCTGGCGATGCCTGCGCCAGACCCCCGACTTCCCCCTGGACATCCCGGAGACCCCGCCCCAGAAGATGGGGAAGACAACGGGCCCACCAGAGCCGTTCTGCAACTGGAGCGCTCGTCGATCCGATGTTCTCACCGCCCCCTGCCCGACGAGGGCCCCAACCTGCGTCGGAGACAGCCTAAACAGATCGCGCACCGCGTTCAAGTCATCTCTGATCCTGCGCTGGTCAACGTCGCCCTCGGAGAGTGAGCAGGGCAACGTCGCTAGGGGAGGGCGCTGACCTCCAAGGCTGGGCCGAATCCTGGAACTAGCCAATCGAAGCCCGCATCGCGCAGACCAGAACCTGATGGCGAGGGGCCGCCTCCCAGACAGCCGTTGCCCACATGAAAATGACATTCCCCGAGTAGATCGCCAGGGGCCCACCTTGAAGCCGAGCCCGCGCGCGCACATTCGGAGCCCGACAGATGCAACTTTGGGGAGCCTGCCGAGGGAACTAGCACCACCCATGCGGGGACCAGCCGTCTTCGAGGGAGGAACTCCGGACACCGAAGAGCCCCAGAAGGCCGACGCCACTGGCCCCACCCCGTGGACCATCCCGACGCCCGCCCGGGCACCTCGAAGCATCTTCAACCTCCTGGCCCGAGCCGATGCAGCTGAGGCCCTGGCACCCTGGATCCCGACCCTGCGCGGGCCTCCCAGAGTCGCGCTAAAGCGCAGGTTCCTCGTCGCGCCCGCCCGGCTCGAAGTGGGGGAGGACCAAGCCTGGGAGAGGAGCTCATCGACCTCCTTCGAACCAAGGTCGGCGAACATTCTAAACTCCACAGACAGCTGCAGCTGCTCGAAACACTTGAAAAGCGACTCGACGGCACCTGCTAACTGAGCTGCAACCTGAACTCTGGGCCCGCAGCTCTGAACTGGAAGGTCGTCGACCACGCTACGCACGCGCGACCAATTTCTAATCTCCCGAGCTTCCAACAAGGGCCCCAGCAGCAGCATCTCGGCAAAGACCTGGCCCCCGAGCAGCCCGCGACAATCGCGCCTTTCGATTCGACGACGGCAGACGCAGCACCCCCATAGCGCAGCACACGGAAGCCAGCAGAGATGGAGCAGTAGCCTCTGGTCAACCGCACGGGGAACCCAAAGCGTTGAGCTGCGGCGAGCAGGTGCTCGCGGTTCGCATTCTCATAGAATCTGGCCAGGTACAAGAGCGCCGAGGCAGATTCGAATCCAGCTTCTCGACAGCGGGCACCGAGCTGGTTGCGGACCCAACCTGCCCGCTCGCATTTCGCGTCGGGGCCCGAGCCCCAGAA